CTTTCCCTTTCCTCTTCCTCTTCCTTTCTTTTTTTAACAAATGCTCCCTTAGGATTGCTCTTCAGACTGTGAATAGCTTAAACAGACTCATATTTTAAAGAGGACAAGGGCTTATTTTTAAGAATTGTACAATTAGCAGCAGTGCAGGCTACCGATTGACATATCGTCTTGCACAGGTTAACACAGGGCTGTCAGATGCAAATCTTATGGGAAAACTCTTACCCTTCTGCTGGGCTATAAAGCATTTTCAGCAAACAGTTTCCTGGTTTCTGGAACTAGGACATTTAGCTGTACAGTATGTGAATAAACACAAGATAGGGATATACTGTCAGGTGAGTTCTGTTGCACGTAAACATTTCAAGAAAAACAGGTCATGACTTGGCCAGTCATGTAGAATAATGAACAACAGCAACAAATTTCTGAAGATATAATGAAGGGTGGCATGCAAGGGAGTCCTGTGTGCACGATTAATCTGCTTCTGATTTGATGAATGAATATAATCATTCCTTTTTTTTTTTAAGAACAGGTATGCTCTGCAAAGTATAACTCTGGCTTAATAACAGTTTGTCAAAATGCAGTGGGCAAAAGATAATGATTTGTATTCTAGAATTCTTCCAACTCCCATGAATGTTATTAAGAAATTCACAACCATCTTTGAACACCATCTGTGAGAAATGTTATCTTCCACCTGTGACTTAAAAGTCAGACATCATGAAAAGTATTTACTGCTAAGAAAGAAAAGCACTTACAAGTTTAAAGGAGAAGCAAGCAAATGTAATAAACAACACATATTTCTCCTTGGCCCTCTGTTCTGTGAAAGCCAGCCAGACAGATAAAACATGAACGCAGGACAGTATTGGTTTGATTTGGCAGAACTTTAACTTGGCTCAAGGAAAACTACTGTGCAACGTAGCAGAGCAAAGGGGAATCACACAGAGGGCACAGACTGGTATTTCTTCTCATGTCTAAGTGCAGTACATTCTAACTTTCTTGGTTCTTGTGCTACTTTTAAGCCAGTCTGTGAGAACTGAAGTAAGACCAAAAAGGCGTTGAACCCCCATATCCTATTTTAGAGTAGTTTATTATGAAAAAAATCTGGAGAAATGATTATACTAAACATTCTTTTATGTATCTTTGCAGTATTAAAGAGACCAGTGACTGCTGATGAGCTCCTGATGCCTGGAGCCCCGTATGTGAGAAAAACTTTCACAGTACGTTTCCAGTATTTTTCTTTATAAGATAGTCCCAACAGGCGTTTTCTGATGGGAAAACTAGAGCTTATTTGCAGTTTCTAAGAACAGTGCTTTAAAATCTCTGAGTCCATTATCTGCACTGCCACACATTTCAGGTCTGATTCTGCACTTGTTTATCCTGWCACTAGCACCAATGTAGTAATGCTGACTTAAATGGAGAGTAAAATTACACAAATCCATTAATACTTGTATTAGACAAACTCACTTAAGCTTCAAGCTTAATGATCTACCCTATTTCTATGTATGTGTACTATTTCTGGTCTATGATACAGAAATTTTGATTCATATTCAAAACAAAAGCCTTTCTGAAAAGCTGGTTTTGGACCTGGTTACTGCAAGCAATGCTTTTACAGCATCTCAGAACACTGAAAAAAATTATCAAAAGGCAAAAGGCTTTCTGTGCCAAATGAAAGAACTGGTTCCATTGCTGCCTTCCTCCTGCCGCTGTCCTCCTTGCAGATCGTCGGCGACGCCGTGGGCTGGGGCTTCGTGGTGCGGGGCAGCAAGCCCTGCCACATCCAGGCCGTGGACCCGAGCGGACCTGCCGCCGCCGCGGGCATGAAGGTAGGGCAGGGGACGTGGCACGTTGCGGGCTGCTCGGATCACCTCTCAGCACGCTGGAACGTTGTCTGTTGGGCACTTACATGTCCAAGCTCTTCTCAGTGGTGGCCAGTGACAGGAGACGGGGTAATGGGTGTAAGTTACAAGACAGGAAGTTCCATCTCCATGTGAGGAGGAACTTCTTTCCTGTGAGGGTGACAGAGGCCTGGAACAGGCTGCCCAGGGAGGTKGTGRAGTCTCCTTCTCTGGAGATCTTCCAAACCCGCCTGGATGCCRCCCTGTGCCCCRTGCTCTGGGTGTCCCTGCTGGAGCAGGGGGTTGGACTACATGATCTCTAGAGGTCCCTYCCAACCTCAACCATTCTGTGAGTCTGTGATTCTGTGTGCTTCTGCTCTCTGCTTGTCAAACTCTTTCCCTCTGTTGCAGGCATTTCTGAGCAGTAATTCCAGTCACGTTTTGCCTTCCTCTCATTTTTTTTCTTCTGTTCTTGAGATACTTTCAATCCCTTTTCTCAAGTGAAGGTCATCTGTTTTTTTCCAAGTTGCTTTCTTGCTCTTTCCATTTGTTTTTCTTTATCGTTTGCTAATCTCCTTCCTGCTCTGCACAATTTCTAACCACTTTCCCCTCTGTTTTGCAACTTGGGCTCTTGCTCTATAGCTTCAGCACTTCCTATATGAAGACACAAAATGAGCCATGACTATTCCAGAATGAAGCTAGCATACATAGTTACATGTTAACTGTAAAGGGCTTAAGATTCAGGACAGAGATTTTGGAGAGAAGAAGTTATGCCACTGCTGAACTTTCATAAAGAGCTAAAATGCTTTTATGCATGATTTAAGAATAAATAATTATAAATTCCCTGGCAAGGTTTATGTAGAGCTCATTGACTTGCCTGCTGTTGTGGATCAGGTCCTGTGTACATCCCACACACCCTGCTGACAGATGACCTCATTCCTGAGGAACCTGGAATTTTGCATGTATTTTATATATATATATATAATTTTACAGTTTTGATTATGAATGGTATCAATTCCAAGCAGTATTTCTTCCTAAAACTTGAAGATCTTAATTTAATAATAATGAATGCATTTGTGTGAATATTCTGAGACCTAGAATCCAGAGTTTAGTACTTCATCATTTACTCTCTTTATCACATCTAGCAATAAAGTAGATCTATTCTGAAACTTGACTTGTAAAAATAGCACTATGTTCTTATGTGTGTAATCTTAGAGATTTCACTTCTGAGCTGGGCAGCTGAAGACTGTGGCATTTTGCTGTATTTTTGCTTCTAGTTTCATGCCGACAGCCCTGCAGTGGTACACCAAGACACTTGGATKAAGCTGAGTTCTTTGCCTCTGAAGCAGCTTTTATATATAAAATTATGTTCTTGGGTTTTCCATTTGTGTTCGCAATGTRCTCATGTATCCCAATGGGGTTACACAAATATAGTGATGTAAGAGCATGTGAAGACTCCATGGTTCGGAGGGAAGTAAATAGTATCTTGGCTCCTAAAATTGGGGTATATTGCATGAATTTGCATAAAGACCAGATCTTATTATTTGCAAAGGTGCTATCTTTACATAAAATCCCTTTTTTGGAGCAAAATTGCACGTAAAATATTGTGGCCAATAAATAAGACGAGTCCCTATGTAGACACCAAAGTTGCTTTTCCATTTTCAAAAGYGCCTTTAGACTCTAGTGATGATCTGCCAGTTTCCTTCAAAAATAAGTTTTTTGTTGATGTGTTCCCATGACAATAGGTATGTAAATTGTCATACAGTATTTGATTTTTTTGTTGTTGCTTTTTTGAAAATCTATGGCACTTAACCCATCTGTTTGCAGATTTCTTCGATCTAGCCAAGCTAAGGGATTATATGACATGACATGCTTTATGATGACAGCTCGTCAAAAATTAATCTTCCTCAGTGTAAAAGCTGGGAGATGGGCATTTTGAAAACAAGATATTAGGCAAAGCTACTTCTAAAAGAAAGGCCTGGACTGGTGTAAGAGGCTTTTGTCTGCTGGTGTTGCCTTGAGTACTACAYCAAGAAACTCTAACAAGGAAAGTTGGCTATGATGAAAAGGGCAAGAATTTGAAGAAGAGCCAACACTTGGCATTGCAATTTGCAGAAAAGTTCTTGGCAGTAGCAGCAGGGTTTTTCCTCTGAGGGGGATGTATCAAGTGTAACCGTTTTGGGAGAGTGTCTAAAGCTTGTGGTTTTGCACTTACCTCTGCTASAGAGAATTATGTACCTGTCTTTGCCTTATGCTGGACAGCTTGTTTGAGAAGACTACAGCCTACACAATCTCTGTGTACTTAAATCTCTGTCATATATTATCTAAAGGAGTAAATGTTATAGGCTCCATTTTCCTGAAGSGCTCTGTGCAGTCTTGCTTTGCTTTTGGTCTTGCTTGGGTTCCTGGCCTGCTCCAGAGCTCTGTAAATTGAGATCTGTGGTAGAAATTTCACACTGCTGAAGAGCTGAGTTGCATGGTCAACACATCGTGCTGTGTTGCTGGGATGCACCCATCTTCCTGACATATACAGGTCTAGCCTGGCAGCACTTGCCTTCTTACTACACGTAACATCCTCTTCTGGGAGAATTTTAAGGCCCTTTAAACCTGAGAAAATACATACTAGGATAGTCCACCAAGGGAGTGTGAGAGGATATTTTTGAGGGTTTAAGGCTAGATACCTCTTCTAGGCTTGTTAAATGCACTTGCCATTTGTAGTTTGAGGTTTCATGCTTGAAGCAGACCAAATAATTTAATAAATCCATTGTCAGCCAGCTTGATTCAAGTGGTTTTAGACCTGGTTTCCTGGAGCACAGTTGCCCATGACAGTGTTGCAAATGGCATAACTGGTGCCTGCAGGTTAGCAAGTGGTGGCTGGAGGCAACCCAAGGGCTGTGCTAGAAGTCAGTGCTGTGATACCTACTTCTAAGTTATCCACAGCTCTGGTTTGCTCTGTGCTGTTTTCAGCAAACTAAGACTGCAGGACAGCAGCAGCAGAGTTTGGAAGTTCCCAGCTTGCTTTAATATTCAGCACTGACTGGCTGCAAAATCCAGGTGTCTGTTGATGGCACCACTGAACAGCGCCAGTTGTCAGGAAGACTCTTTTTCACTGTTTTAGGGCTTTATTCTGCAAAGTGATTTCTGTTTTTGAGAGTTTTTTTGAATAACTACACAACTGGGCTTAAAGCTAGAGATTTAAGTTACCACTTAAATCTTGCTTTTGTTATTTTATGTGGCGTCACCACAACAGTGCATGGGAAATCTAGCAGATCCTGCTTAGTGTGAGACATGAGAGAGAGACAAATAATCACTAATGCTCTGCTTTTGCCTCCGGTTGCAGAAATCAGTGCCCAGCTCTGACCTCTGGAGAAAGGTAAAGAATATCTGATTCCTTGGCTCGATTGTAAGCAATTTAATATTTATCGCTCTTACATATAAGGTCTTTCTATTGGCGAAATTCTCAACGGTCAAGTCCATTTCTCCAACCCTCTTCTAGTTCCTCTTTGTTTCTGTAGACAGCATGGGACTGTGTCTGGTCACTGGTACCACCTTCTCCAGTTTGAGCACAGTTTGGGGCTTAGCTTGCAGTCAGTGTCATCGCAGCGTGTCCCCGCTCTCCTTGTGATCTTTACAAGCTGGCTCAGACAGGAGGTCAGCCTCATAAATTTTCTTCCTGTGTCATGTTCTCTTACATTCACAGATGATTATTTCAGGTCAGGATCCTCAGCAGAGTAAGAGCCAAATCTCTCATGTAACTGAGTAGTCACTGTTTTGTGGAAAATACTGCTGCCAGAGTCCCTCCAGGTCATCAAACCCAGTTTCCCTGTTGAAGGAAGACAGGTAGTATGTTCTTATACTCAGAGTCCAAATATTGCCACAGGTACAAAATACTAAAAGTCTGCAACGTAAAGCACTGAAAGCTACATAGTATAAGGTGCCAAATGAGTGGCAAAAAGTGAACAAAGCATCAGAGGAATTGCCAGTGTCTTGCATTCCTGCAATAGCAAGAAATTTGAACCGTGAAATTCTCTGGAGGCTGAACATAGCCCATGCTGCACAGAAAAGCAAAACCCACACCATGGCCCTGGCCAGCCTAACCTCAGAGAAAAATTCTTCCTTGCCCCAAACCTATCGATTTCTCAGTTTGACAAGCAAGAGGAGCCACCCTAAACAGCCTGAAATAATTTTATTCCCCCAGGAACAAATTTCTGTCATGAAATTCCAATGTTTTACAGAGTCAGGAAAAATAGAAGAGATTGGGCATCACAAGGGAGGAAATGTTTCCTAACTTCTGAAGGCAACTAGCAGGAGCTTGAAGACTGGAATTTATATTGCATAAATATGGCACAACAAAGAAGCCTGCCTTTAAACTTCTCCATTAGGCTTAGGGGAGGGAAAATATCCTAATGTTTGGTGCTAGGCTTTTAGCTAGGCTAAAGGCCTAGCACCAAAAGTACCTCTTGGGAGATGACTTCAGTGCTAATTGAAGGTACCCAAAGGGTGCTCTCATTATCTCATGTGACTGAGCTTTAAATGAGAAGATGAAGTAGATTTGGATAAATATTTATACTGAGCAATAGCATATGGTGTTGCTGAAGCAGATGCAATAGAGTCTAAGAATTCTTATCTTACACCAACATGTTACTGATTGTAGAAAAGCATAAATTACATGAGTTGCCATCTGTTTTCAATTATGGCATGAAAACACTGAAGCAGGTTGATATTTTCTTTTAGTTGTGTTATCAGCTAGCTGCTGAATTTGATAATTACATTAGAGCAAATTCCAAATGACTGTATCTAGTAATGTGAGCACTCAGAAGGGAGTAGCTTATCCATAAATAGAGAAGCAGCAGAGCTAAATGTGCATAGAACTATGCGTGATGAATGTCACTACAGGGGTGCTTGAATAGAAATGTATATACACATTTCAAACAAGTCTCCTTAAGCCAGTGACCCAACTCTTAGTGGTGTTTAGCTCATAAAACTCC